CATTTATTCCCTATATTTAATTTCCTAAATATCTTTATTACATAGAACTTCAATTAATTTTCAAAAATATTTACTAAAATAACAAATATTGTTAATTATGGAATGATATGATACTAACACTCATGTAATTTTATTTGTTACTCCCCTTAAAAAATCGCATATCAATAGAAACCTTATCCTTTTATACCATAAACATTTTCCATTTTTAATCCATATGGAACTATTTTCACATTCTTATTACTTTTGTCCTTATTTTATTTTTCTCTAGCTTTTATCACTTCCAACAAATTAAAAATTAAATATCATCTATAATCTCACTTACGAGGCAAGGAGAGGGACAAAATCTCCCTTTTACACACAAAACCTATTCGTGGAAACTTCTATTTTTCTAATTTTTTTTTTCCTTCAACTTCCTCTCTTTACGAGGTTGGAATGCCGAAAAAGGAAAAAGAAATGAAGAAACGATAAAAGATAAAATAAAAAAGTTATTGGTTGCGTTTACGTAATAGAATTGTTAGAAATATAAATAAATTAAATGCCCTCCTTCATCATAACATGAAACATAAATGACATGCAAAATAATCATAGAAGGTTGGCACACTTTAAGATTTTACTGTCATTAGAGAGGAGAAAAAAAAAATAACTTAAATATCAGTGTTTTTGTTTCAGATGTTATGCTCACCTTTCACAGTGTATTTCGTTTTCACACACTATTAAAACTTAAATTATGTATCATAAACTAAGATTTAGTGTATGTTTAGAACCGATGGTATAATGAGTGATTTAAAAAAAAATAGGTTTGTTTACCATTGAATTTACAAAAGTAATTTAAATACAAGTTTTTTTTTTCTTGAGATAAAATACAAGTTATTTTATATTTGGTTTGAAGTAATTTTTATATAATTAGGAGTGATTTTGAATTCTTAATGTTTGGTTTTAAAAGTAATTTTAAAAATATCAAATTCTTAAAAGAGATATTAAATTTGAGAATTTACTGCCAAAGCAAGCATAGTTCAGCAATAATTGGCATATGCCTCCAATTAAGAGGTTGTGAGTTCGAATCCCCGCCTGAACATGTACAAAAAAAAATTATGAGAATTTATTTAATTAAACAATTATTTAAGTATTTACTCAACATTGTGATAAAAAGATTATAATTAATATCACTACAATTGATTTTATTTTTTATAAATATTTATTTATTTATTTATCATTTTTTTGGGTAAATTGCATCAACCCCACTCTAAAGTATGATGATTATTACAATTGTACCTAAAAACTTTCCATAGTGAATCCTTAAACTTTTAGTAACGTACAAATTAGACCCTAAAACTTTCGTAAATGGAAAAAATTGCATACCTAAACTTTTAATTTTAAAAATTAAATCCTTTTTAACTTTTATAAGTTATAAAATTAAATCTAGTTTTTACTCTCTCTCATGATCTCCTTCTACTTTTTCTTAACCTCTACTATCTCCCCAGAAAACTTTGTTCGGATAAGTACACAATTATCTAATTTAAATTTAAAGTAAGAGTTTGAAAGGGAAATGAAATTGGGGTAAAAATAGAAAAAGAAAAAAAAATCTTTATTAATGTCGTTATTCACAATTATTCAAACATTGAAAATTTTCAAGTTATTCACAATTACTTCAACAACACCGCCACCACAGCCGTGGGATTCCAATACAACTCCGCCGCCTGCAACCAAAAACCCCCCAGAATCAAAATCCATCCTTATGATCGATCACCTACCAAAAAATTACCATCCAATTATTAGAATTTTAAATTTACCAAACATAATTAATTGAAAGAAAAATAATTTAAAAGCAATGAAAAAAGTAATTTTAGTATCAGTTGTAAAAGAAAATAACGACAAAGGGAGTGACGGAGGTGGATAATACTGGCAGTGGCATAGGCAATGAATCATTTCCAATGATGAATAATATAGCGCACACATCCAACCCCCATATCTCAACATAATTTTCACTTTTACATTTATACCCTCGCCAGGACGGCGCCCATCCCCTGCCACGTCAGATTATTATTAATTCTTCGTTAAAAAAACCCATACATATATATATTAATTCTTCATTAAAAAAATCTCATTTCGTAGAAGTAAACATACATGAGGGAATGAAAAGAGCGAGACACAACTCAAATTTGGAAATTTCTTTTACGAGAGAGGTCATTTCTTTTATCATATATCTCTGGCACTCTCATCAATCTTATTATTTTCGTACTTTATTCTACGCGCTTCACACATTTATTTCAATTACTTTATTATTTCTTCTATTTCTGAAATCCATAATTTTTTAATTAATTGTTTTATACTTTTATTATTATTTTTTCATTTAACGTTGAATTGGTATTCCATAGTAAAAATGGAGACTGCCTCTAGCCAACATCGGCTATGGATCACGCCCATCATCATAAGGACGTCTCGGTACGGGATTGGATCATTGGTCCTGATGATGGCTCCCCTTAGCTAATTTGAAGGGATGTAATTGGTGTTATCGATACTACTGTCGTTATCATTGGCAAATATGCTTTTCTATTAGCGGAGTCTTTCTCTACCGTTGTTTGGTATCGACTTCTGGATAT